GTTGTTGACGTTTCAAAAGTACCAAACTATGGTTTAATTGAAATAAATGCTTTGACTTTGACTTTGCACGTTATCTCAAACAAAATTCTTAGAAAATCACAATTAACCGCTTTTCGAAAAGAAAAATCTTGAATGTGACGACCTCGAAACGTTAATATTTGCGAAATAGGAAAATAAATTTCACCTTTATTGGCGGCGACCCTTTTCCGATTCCTGATTTCGAAAACGGTAGGGAACTCACAATGGCTTTGTAATAGACAGGGTCACTGGGCGAAAATAATTTATTTGGCTGACTTATTGATTTTCCTTTTACATAGAGGAAGAACCCTAATGGGTTCAATAACCATGGTTAACTTTTTTATAAGCATAGTAATAGTTTTATTTATTTACTACCTCGTTCGTTGTATGGGTAGTGCGACTGTTAATTAAGCGATTTCTTTTCTGGTAGATAATAATCTTTTTTTGTTTTTAAAAGCTTTGGAATGGACCTTTGGCTAAAACACTAGGATTTTCTCCTGTACGGGTGCGTTTACAAACATACAATTTTACATACACATGACACCCAGACCCGAAACAACAATTTGTGGATGACACAAAGAGTTGTTAAGTGCGAGAATCGATGCAGCGACACGTTGCGCGGCAGCCGGTTGCCAGCCACTGAACCAAGCGTGCAATATATCAAGAGCAAAGAAGAAAAAAAGTAGGTATATCAATAAAGTTAATTAATTCTTATAATTCATTGCCTCCTACTCTAAAAATACCCACAGACACAGCACCTGTTACGAAATCGTATCACTTAAGAATTTCACGTCTTTTTGACCTCAAAATGAAACCAATAATAAAAAGATCGTTCATTTTTTACGACTGAGATCTACGTCGAGTAAAAAGTAAAAGATACTTTACACGAACCGTGAAGAGGTTTATTACTGAAATTAAATAAAAGAAAAACATTTTTACCATGTTTTTATGACGTACCTACTTTGGTTGCTTTTTTTGTTATATCGTGGAAAAATCCATTCTTTGTAGACAGACTAAAAGGGATGATTAAAAATTAGAAATCTTTTATCTTATTTATATATTTAAGCTTCATGCACAATGTGTACATAAGGTGGACTTAATGCCGCAGGCATTTTCTCCCAGTCTGACCTTTGGGTGATGCAGAGAAGTCAATGGTGTGAGCAAGAAGCATGCAACGATTTAATTGAGCAATTCAAATAGATACACTAACATATTTCAGAGATAAATATAAATAAAAATAATTATAATGTATCTTCTGCCAGCACAAGAGATTTTTTTTCATAAAACACAAATAAATTGTGTGAAAACTGGAATACTTTAAACCTCTGCCTAAACTATCGGACTATGATTACTTTATAGCCTATCTAAAGTTTCTGCAAGCCTTTGAGCGCATGCATATCGCGGGATTTGTGATTACTACTAAGAATATAAATTGGGAAGTTTATATTCATTTTTGTTTACACGCATTGGGGGGCCTGCATAATTGACAAGGCAGATACGGCGACGCCAGCTAAGCCCCAAGCCATGTGTTATTCCAACCATAATCTACCCCTGTACCTAATTTCATCCCTGTCTCCTTAGCCATTTTGACGTTACTGAGTAATAAACATATGTAGGTACAAACACACACAAACTCTAGGTTTTCAAATGTAGGTTTAAACTGTCAAACACCAAGCGGTCACCGGTGACCGCAACCTATTGTTCTATAATTGTGTCTATAAAACCGGTACTCGACGAGTTAAGAAACGAATTAAATTTTCGGAGCTTGAAGCTTGTAAATTCGTTGGCCGAGTGGTCGCAAGTGCGACTATCGAGCAAGGGGTATCGGGTTCGATTCCCGGGTCGAACAAAGTATTACTGGGTTTTTAAAAAAATCTCTGTAGTAGCACGGAGTCTGGAATTGTGCCCGGTACATGGCAATATCACCCCCTATTACATGGGACTCACAATATAATTAGTGAAAAGTAGCTGTTACTTCTGTGTGCACCCCTTCGGGGATAAAAGACGTGACGTTATGTTATGTTATGAAGCTTGTAAATTACAAGTAATGTCATAATAACATCATAAGAGCGTTCCACTGGGTGTCTATGGGCGGCGCTGATCGCTTACTACCAGGTGACCCAATCTGCTCGTTTGCCTCATATTCCATAAAAAATAATTTCGTGTTAAATGCTAAGCCTAATAAGTGTTATTATACTTATTCCAATATTTTAATTTACCAGAAGGACATTCAAAATTGTGTAGTCATCATCCCCATTCCAAGGGTCTTTTAAAAACGCTTGCTCAGAACCTTTATATACCTCTGGCCTTAAATGTATCGGACAGCAGATTATCTGGATGTACTTAATCCTTTTTTAATAACGAAATAATATTTAATATTTGTTACGGTATTATAGGCTACAAAATAACGAAACATCACCTTTACCAGCCTTTTATCCCCAGAGGGTTTTTTTTTTTTTTAAGGGGGGAAAATCGTCGAATGACTGCCCCCGCCTGGGTGAGGTGGGAGGGAGTGTCAGACTCTTACTGACTAATAACCACCCCGTTCCTTCTCCTGCACGTCGAGCCGGAGCCCCGGTTACCCGTTAGGTTCTCCGCGACAATCCCCAGAGGGTAGGTAGAGGTTATTACGACACTTAATGCTGTACAATGTAACACCCACGTTACACTCATGTAATAGGGGGTGAGCCTATTGCCATATACCAGGCACAATTCCAGACTCAATGCTATTACTGATTTTTTTTAAACCCAGTAATGCTTTACCCGACCTGGGAATCGAACGGGAGAACCCTTCGCCCGGCAGGCGCACTTACGAACACTCGGCCAATTAATATTTTCAAAGTCAAACTATCTGATTAGGTACTTACTTGGTACTTTCTGTGAAAAAGCATCGAAAAAAGTCCCAAACTCATTGTTTAAATATCTACCACCTACATTTTACAAACCTATTTAAAATGAAGCTCGTCCGGTCAATTCATACAAAAATAATATAGGGAAAATAACATAATTTCGCGTAGCGGTGTAACTTAGTACTTAGTCGTGTTCAGAACCGTATTATAAAGCATTACGTAAAAAGTCTCCTTAAGTGTCTAAGTTTTATTATTCCAAAACGTAAACTCAAATCCCAAGTCATGTTTAATGATTTACCAAACAATTTCAACAAACAAAATGCGCAAACGTGATACTACTTGTGATTATTTTTAGCGAATAATAAAGCTCAGTTTTAACAAGCACGACTTTAACAACAGTGAATGGACAACTGTTTCTCCAATAACTAAAATATCGCTATAACTAGCCGGAGTTTCGATATCGATTCGAAACGCACTGTATGTACGTAGCTTATGTTTGGCCAATAACCTTTCATAAGAGCGCGCTTCTGAACACTGGTTCAAATCTCCTGAACTAACGCACACTGACTGTAAACCTTCACCTATAGAACAAAGAGTGTAAAATACAAATACAGGATTCTTAAACAAGATTAGTATATATGGAATGGTTCTGTACCTACTCTTATTGTTACGGTTAGATAATTAAAACGCATAACGATCGAGCGCGTATGACAAACAATAGTATCGCATGAATAATATCAGAAAATTCTCACTTACTGCACATTCAGGCTCAGCAGTATATGATCCATTAGCGAAGTACTTCTTCGGGCACTCGGCCCACGGCAGTTCTGCCTGGAAGCTTTGCGCGAAGTAGAATAGACACCAGGCAATGATAGAGTTGTAGTACAGCGCCACATTAAACGACACCACCGCTGAACTGATCCCGATCCCACCCAAATACGGAGACACCTGGTGCCACACACCTATGGCTCCTTTCCGCAAACGCTGCCCGATCGCCAACTCCAAATAAAATATCGGTATCCCCTCAATCGCTAACATCACGAAGTATGGAATCAAAAATGCTCCCCCGCCATTCTTTTGTGCTAGGTATGGAAACCTCCAAACGTTACCTAATCCCACAGCATACCCCACGGTGGCTAACAGAAAAGTGAGCTTGCTGTCCCACGACTCTCTCTCGACTCCACCACCTTCGGGCTTCACTCCACCACGGTCTTCCACGGAGCTGGCCTTGCTAGTTGGTGTCTCTGAGGACCGCCTGTTGGGGCTGGTGTCCTCGAAAGCCTCGTTAGTGGCACCGTACATGACGTGTGTGCGGTGAGACGGGTGCCCATTCTCCATCGTCACCAGTCGACCTCGCAGCTCTTTCATCTCCATCCTATCTATTGAGCGCTGTGCGTACAGGTCCCGCGAGCTCTGTCTCCTCATCAAATGTGCTGTGTTCGCCATCTTTCGTTATTTCTATTATACTTCTAATTAAACTTTAATTATTGTCGTCTTATTGTCATTATTAACTTTTAAAACGATTCAGATTCCATGTCGTGGCACATAATGAGGACCAATAAATTACACGTCAGAGTTATGAATGCTTTTACGTGGAGATTGAACGGCATGTCTAATGATTTACTAATAACCATTTTTTGTGTAAACCGTAAACTTATATAATAATTGGCACGTCACTGAACTTAATATTGTAAATAGTCGCAAGGATTTATATTGAACATATTGAATTTGATTGGTTCTATGTGATGGCGGCCGCGGGGTCGCGCGTATCTGGCGGGAAACGCGCCCGAAATGCGGGTGTGAGAGGGACAAGCTTTCACACGCATGCGCTGAAATAATGCCCTCTCCGTGGCACTTACACTCAAATGGAGGATTTTTCAATGAACGACTGGAATCCGAACGCCTACGTACAAGCAAAACACGTTGTAGACAACATTGATTCGTAGTCTGACATTAAATCAAAGCTGCGTAACTGAAGACTAGGTGTAGGTAGTAGGTTGAATTACCTAGACTTAACGGCGTCATTACGATTTGATTTATAAATAGAATAAGTGATTTCATTTGATTCCTATTTCAGCGAATATTGTAATTAACTGTGCTATTTGTATGTAGGTAGCTGTAAAATGTAAAACAATTAACAATCTATTCGACCTCATCGTTCGCTTGATAAAATTGACGTGTAAAAGTGCTGCCTTGTAGCCTATTTGCAGAAATAAATTCACTTGTTTCACTTATTGTTTCCCATGATTCATAATATCAGACTAAATGAATATTTCAAGTTTTGAAAAATGTTTATAGTGCTAACAGCTAATGGAAGGGGCGGCGTAGTGGGCGGTTGACAGTGATTTATGATCGAGCGACACTGGCAGAATAAAAGAAAGTGCCAGTTCGCCTGTGTCGATGGCCTCTGTAATCACATAAGAGCCTAATTCCTTCATAATAGAGATAAGAAATTTCCATATGAGATTCTCAGGTTGGGCAAAGGCCGTAAGTTCAAGATTTTGACAGACATCTTAGTGATAGCATGGAATCTGACATTGTGTTCGGTGTACGGCAAACTACGTCGAACAAATGGTCCGACTCGACCAGAGTGATACCACGACCTAGCAGAAAATCGACGTGAAACAACGCTTTCAACGCAAATAGATAACGAGCATAGAGAGCGGATGGAACAGCGCCAGAGTTGCTAGTATTTTATAATTCTACTCTGCCATTCACCCACCACACTACACCACACCGTTCAAAACTAACAATATTTTTTTCACTCGTAGACCGTAGTTAATAGCCAAGGCCTGCCATGGTTCGGTAAGACTAGCAACGTACTTGTATCAGTTGTATCTTGTCTGTTGTTGCGGGTATCCATTAGCGGCGCGGATTGCTTACCATCAGGTGATCCGACGTCTCGTTTGGCTTCTTATCGCATAAAAAATAAAAATATCCACTTTTACTGTCTTGTTGACCTTATAGAACTCCTATAAGGAATAATTAAAAATATTCGAAGACTGATTACTTAACTAACTCCCGCGAGTCGTACTCCAATAATGAACATTTGAACATTGTTAATCATGAGTTGCCTCGTTATCTAACTTCAGTTTCCACTCGAATGCTTCTAAACTCCGGTAAAGGTGAAGAAAACAAATTGTCTATCGTACCGACCCACATAATTAATGGGCTTGCTACTTTGCGAGAACTTAAGTACTTACTTACGTTTCGTTACTTAAAGACTTCGGTATGTTATGTAGGTACCTACCTACCTACCTACCTACCTATATGAATACTAGGTACCTAGCTACAAAATATTTTTATAGGAATGAGATAGGGCGGCAAAGAATCATACGAACCACTTAATTGTAACAAAGACCCCAACTACATCATAGGAGTTACAAATACGTTACCACCAGCCTTTTTGGAATTGGGGATGGAAGGAAGAAGGATGGGGCCAGTGAAATTCAACGCAAGACGCAAATGTCATCACGACTTTTATTTCCCGAAGACAGGTAATCATCATCATCAACAACAAAGACACGGGTCTCTGTTTCCACTCATAATCCTGCCTTTCCTCGGCTACTTACCGTTATATGTTAGGTAAACTTAGTTATTTTTTTTAAGGTTTTACAATTTTATTGAGATTCTTCAATATATATGTGCTGCTAAACTGATATTAAACTGGCAACTTTTGTACCTGACGGCCTTTTTTTAAGTCTGACAATATTTTTATCTTCTTGCCACCCATCACTCACTAGCTGTCAAAAATTAAACGCAAATCAGAACTGCAACATTTTGTTTCTACACTGTAAAAATAATGAAGTTATCAATTGAATCATGTCGATTGCAACACAAACGCTAATTCATACCGACGTTAGTGTTCGGCGATTGTAATCGAGACCTGCGTGTGTATTCGGCGACATGTATTGTTTGCAATGGCTTATTCCTGTGCTGCTAATACCGAAGCCCGTGAACCCGGCTTTAGTGAACACACATGTTATGTTCATGGTCTTATACCTAATAGGATTCTTCCTAGAAAGGAAGCCGTGTACCGTGTGCAGTGTAGTCTTCCTCGCAGCCGTGATATTAATTTGTTATAGCGGAATTGGTAACTGTTTATTCTGGGCTAGTCAATGTGATGCTGAAAAGTACGATACGTAGACGGGTCAGCGATTCTTCCAGAGTTATCTACCTAAGTGCTCAAAGTGCAAGCTGCCCTGTCCAACAGAGGGCTGGATGTAGTGACAATGTGAGGCTGACACCAACACCATTGCCTTGTGCATTGAAAATATATTATATTATTTTCTTTGTATATTTTTGTAAATAATTGTTTTTTTATTTATTTACATTTGAATGTATGGTAATAATGTTGTATTGTATTGATAATGAATAATTCCATTGTGGAAGTTATGTGCCGATCTGTACTTAGTATCAGAATTATGTTGACAAATAAAAACGTGATGTGTACATATTATTATCTTAAATGTTAATGTAATAACAATTTGGGGACAAGATGCAATTGTTTTATTGGAGTATTGGATGATGTATAACGGAGTGTTTGAAGAAAGTACTTATTATATTGTTATGTGACTACTGAAGTTATTGCATGGCAGCTCATCATTGCACTCCTAAGTTTTATTTAAGTCTTACACCTTAGGCAATTGATGAAATGCTAATGTCACCGTGTCATGGTGAGTTGCCGTGCAAGCATAATTGTTGACATAAAATTAAAACTGTATCAGAATCATATCTTAGATCCATAGTATCCATTCAAATAAGATAGTATAAAAATGTAATCTTCATTACATATAAGTATCAGTCACTTATAATGTTCACAAGTACTTAGCTTTCTAGACAATCTACAATTATTGAAAATATTTATTAATATGCAAAAATACTTTGTTAGACTAAACGGACAGAATGTGGGTGCAACTTTGAACAAAAAATAATACTGTTGCTCAATGAAATCAGTGGAAATGTAAATAGACATGGAGTCTATACTAGGCCAAGATCAACGGCGGGCTTAACGGGGTGGCTTTTAGTCAGTAAGAGTCTGACACTCCCTCTTGCCTCAACTGAGCGGGTGCAGACATTAGATGATTTTCCCCTTTCAAAAAAAAAATAGATCAATGTGAAATATTAACAAACCATGAGGGTAGAATTATATTATAACAATTCTGTCACAAGCAATACCACTCCCGCCACTTCCTCACTCTATTTACTGAAAGTAAGGAGTTCAATAGATAGAAAAGTGTGTTTTGTTTTGGCCAGATGTCTCACCTTTGTGGTTTACTTAGAAACTATTCAAATTGATCTTGGCCCGAGTATACATGTTGGAGGCATGGTTGCTACATTGTTTACACAAAACCATTTCAATTGTTAGTACACCTTGTTATAACATCACATTAGTCATCTGTCTAGAATAAAAATATATACTTCCCCTTACTTTGTGATATTTTTGTAAAGTATTATTAAATAGAGAAGTAGTAAACATAATTACTGTGTCTATGGGTCTGTTTATTCTAAAACCAAATTTTTTTATTTACTGGAATTTTCCCGCCCATTGGTCTATAAAGTACTTTTAAAGTGACTTTAGATGCAGTATTTTGATATTTTCTACTACAAACTCATTACTTATTATAGAACTTTTAATAACTTGGAAACTAGACTAGATTCAGTACTTTTCTAATATAGAATAAATTGCCTGCTAGCTACCATATTTCATCCATTCTTAAATAACAAATAAACAGGTACCTCATAAAACGAATGTCTGATATTATAAAATACCTAATCATTCCTTAATTTATTGATAATAAGTACTTGGGTTATCAACAAACTAATGAAGATACAACAGCAAGTTTACCAATAATTAGTTATGAGTGTGACACAGATACATTGATAAAGTTAATAATTATAATGATACATAATATTCAAAGTTCAGTATTATTAGAGCTAACAGAGCGAACCAACTGCTTTATCTAACTTCCCGCCTTTTATAGGGGAGAGGGGGGCAGTTTAGAACAGAGGCAGTTTTGAATTATTGGATTTCTAAACGCATTGTTTGTCTTTCCTAACCTCCAATATATTTTTAATACTGGTAACACCGAACTACACGCCTGTCAATTGTCAATTTACGTCAATGTCAGTGTCAAACAGAATAAAATTAGTCGGTTACTTTACAGAGACGAAAGCAAACATTTTTACTGTTTATTTTAAGCGAATTACTGAAAACGTAAGTATACTTTTCGAGTTTCGACTATTTTATAGTGTTGAGTATATTATAGCAAGTGTATCACCAATATAATGTTACTTAAATAAAAACTTCTTGGTCGTCTAGATAATTTTGTTTCGGAAAGATGGTATTGGGGCAGATTTGAAAAAAAACTGTGGGGCAGTTATGAATAAAATGTTCAAAAGTGCCCCCGGCTGTTGAATCTAATGATGTTTATTTATTTTTTAAATAATTGATAAATATAACTCAAAATATTTACATTTTATATTCTTTTACAGTTATAAATCACAATGGTAAGAAATTACAAAAAGAAAAAAGAAAATAATGTTAACGAAGAAGACGCGGAGAGAGCTGTATTGTGTGTTGTCAATGATAACATGAAACTGAGGACCATGAAATTGTTTCTTGACAAAGAAGACCAATCCTGCATACCTATCATGTCTGATATTCGTAACTTACATAGTTTAACTATTTGATTCTTTTTCTAGATGCTTTACTGAGACCATTTAAATGGTATGTTTTTAATATAATGTTAAGATAAAGATAATATTATGAAGACATAGATTTTAATTGCAATATGTAACTAGATCTCATATTAAAATAATAAGTTTCTTGTACTTGTTCAAGACTGCCCCAGGCTGTTATTAGTTTTATAAAGTTTACATAAGCAATAGTGAGTGTACGAAGTTTGTGGTAATACACAATTATAATATAAGATTTGTATGTCTTAAATAAAGTGTTAATTTTATTCTAAATTACATTGTTTTCTTGTTATCATGGTATTTCAAAACTGCCCCTGGGGTTATCAAATGTGCCCCTAGCTAGGGGCACATTTGAACAAAATCAGATTTTTTTAAAATAATAATTTTGTTACTTTAATGAGTGAAAACAAGTAAATTTAATGTTTATTTTGTAGCACAAATAGCATATCTACTCATAAAAAAATAGTATACCTTGATATGTAGCACAATAACACAAATATAATAATTTATTTAAAAAGTGTTCAAAGGTGCCCCCCTCTCCCCTAATATAATACATACTTACCTCCCCAAATGCGTAAGCAAAGGTGCAAATATTAAATAATATGGGTAGGTACCCTATTGCTATCCACTAGTGGTCATTCCAGCTACTGATGCTGCTTAGAACTTCGGAAATCCCAGTACTGTAGTCAGGTACACTCAGCACAAAATTGGCGCCAAAACGTATCGGTCTTATTTGTGTTAGTACCATGCAAATGTGTGGTTAAATCACCTTGATCTTTAAATGGAATAATCTTGGTAGTTTACTACCTTTATAAACATTTTTTAATGCATCTGCAATCCGTGATAAGTGTAATTTAAAATTTTTGTTATGACGCCTGAATTAAATATGTGAGCAAAGTTTAACATACCTACTTACCGATAGGCAGATAGGATAAAAATTATGATAAATTACATTGAGATATTATGTGTAACTCAATAATAAACTGAAAAAATAGTCTTGAGTTTTGAGAAGTTGGATAAGCTCAAGGATTTTATGTACCTATATAGAAAAAGAAATCGTTTAATCATCTCAATACCCAAGAAATACCTACCTAGCATCCATACAGAACAAGATAGAATACTTTTCCAAAAACTTTATATATATTCTTCGATGTTGTATAACATTAACTGCCAATTATTAACATACCTATTAAAAGCTTGAAGTTAAATAATATTTCAAGATATCAGACAGTTACCTAAATATGTAACTTACTCAACAAGTCAACACCATCATTGGTAAATAAAAAATTTGTCATATGATAAAGTGTGCACAAGAAGACAAATACATACTTAGATACATACATACTGAGACATACATTACTAAATATATATACTAGACACACCTTAACACATGGTACAGTATTGCGTGAATTAATCTTCCAAGTGTCTAATGCGCATATTCCTTTTCAAAGACACTGGTCTGACTTAAATAATTCTTTTAATGCATTTATTGGATAGCTATAGGCTATAAAACATCATGCTATGATCAATAGGAATAATAGGATCTAAGCAGAGCACTTAAAACCATGTGAAAGTAGCTATGAAAAATAAGACAAGATATACACCGGTAAGTTGTTTATTATGTGTCAGTACAATGAGATGGTCATCTTTGACGGTTTCTTTAAGTTAACATAATAATTGGATAGATGGTAAGAGCCTTAACCTAATCAGCAGCTAGCCACGACCTGAAACAAATCACAATATATTTTAAAACAAACTGAAAGTTTCACAATATTACTTTAGGAATATACTGAATGTATGCACCTTATGGTATATTATCCTATGTAAATCGGTGAATGTAATGTACATGGTGTACATCAAAATATAAATAAATACAGTCCAATAATTGATTTAGCAGGTCTCGCCAAAGTTGTAAAATAAAAATAAATACAGAACTAATCTATATGAGAATTTACTTGATTTTGAACAAAAAATGTGACGAGATTCTATCAAATTTGGATAGAGAGGCTATTGTGACTGTCTGATAGCTTCCACAAAATAGCTTTACTTGAAGATAGATGTATGAATTCAGTTCTGTTATCTAAAGCTTTAACTCGTCGAGTACCATCATTATAGACACAATTATAGAACAATAGGTTGCGGTCACCAGTGACCGCTAGATGTTTGACAGTTTAAAACTGGTAAAAGCCACCGAGGCATGACCAGCAACCACATTCTTAAGTTGTTGGTGACCTACATGTAGTCCCAAGTTTCTTGCTAAATATGAGGATTATAAGGCAAGTTTTCTCTTTTGATTAATAATGGATGAATTCCAGTTGATAAGCTTTTGTTTCAATAATGCAGTGAATACCACAACAAATATATAACATGGCTATTGTGACTAACATCTTTTACTGAATATAAACAATATTTTACAGATAAGAGAAAACTTTGCATAGTTTAACTTTATAAAATTGGGTTTCCATGTAATAGCGTGTTAATTTAGAGAAGAAAATTACAGTTTAGAACGCCGCCTAACATAGGCAACATAACCTCAAAAAATTCGTTTCGTTCAATAGAAAGCTTAGAATGAATCTTAACCTAAACGTTTAATTTAAGCTTTGAATAAAAATACGAATTTACCGTTTATCGCAGTCTTCTGGCTTCACGCTCAGACTCGAGAAGAGTCAGGATGTCACCATCACGCACTGGTCCTTTTACATTTCTAATTATTTGCCTGCTAGTTTCGCCGATAAACTCCACCTTGACTTGGGTACATTGTCCCTGGGATCCGGTACGGCCCAAAACCTTGACAACACGAGCAAGAACGTTTGGCTTATCCATTTTAGTTTAAATATCCAGCAATTTCGTGAATAATACACGTGCACCAGAAATGGCGTGAGTAGAAAAGAATTTGACAGCTATAGTGTTAGAGTTGTCACTGGTTGTAGTTCCATAGAGTTCCTTTGATATAGTTAGTCGATTGAACCGTGCAGGTAGACGACTCATAACTGTAAGTTTATTTAAAAAAATATAACAAGTTGTTACTTACAACAATTATTCTAAGAGTATTTTAGTGAATATTCCAAGCAATTTTTGTGGTTTTCTTTATTTTACTTTCTTTTGATTCAATACTTTAGTTGTAGTTAATTTATAGATGTAAATATTTATGTAGGTAAATAGAACAAGGCGAAATATTAAGATTGCAGTTAGCAAATTAATAATGACATTGGTCACATTACTCATAACCAAAAAAACAAACATAGTTTAAAATTGTTAAAGTTCATGGTCAGTTGGATATTTTAATAGTAATATTTAAGAGTTTGAATCGCTGATTTTCGTTATTATGAGAAAGAAGAAAATAAACAGTTAAATATTGATGTTTGTTAATATAAGTATTAGCACATGGAGAGGAAGTAGAATTTAACTTTTGATGTGAAGTTATACTGATTTATTTTTCGACTACTAAGCACACCAACTATAACCAAATAAAAATAGTTTAGTGTTTATTTTTCTAAATGCTAACTTGTGCTTAGTCTTAATTTCGGAATCAATTATATAGATAAAGCCAAAAGCCCGGGGGTCAAAGTCATAAATGATACATCACTAGTGACATAAGATTCCACGTCAATCGAGTTGGAGAGAAAATTGGCATTTTGCCCCAAGTTTCTTGCTCCGTTGGACTGTTTGTTACAAAAGTGAATGGCCTACAATCTAGTCGGATAGTAGCCGTAGTTTGTTACAGTCTAGTAAACATATTACTTATTTAATCAACATGAAGTTATTATATTTAACGCTCCTAGTCCTCCCAGCGGCTCTCCTGTGTTTCCAGAGCGGTAAGTTATCTGAAAATTGTTATATTCTATCCCTGATATAAGTACGTGGCAGCATTTGTGGTATACTTTAAAGAGAAAGTTTTCTTTCGAAGATATTTGCAATATTTAAAAGTAGTTCTCCAGTACACATTTAAATATGTATTTGTGAATGCATCACAAAATTCACATAACTATTTGTGAGTAACCTTTTATACAAGATAACACTTTCTTTCAATGAAAAGTTCTTACTATTGCTAAAAATTGTATTACAGTTTACATAATTATGTTACCTTTTTAACGGTAAACTATTTGGCAAAGATTTGAGTTAGGGTTTTGTCATAATTTCAAGATTCTTTGCTCTGGTAGTTATAGAGATAGAAGACCATAGTTACTAGGTCAGCACTGCCTTAAAACCTTTAAATCATTAATGAAAATGATAATCTTTCCTTCTGATAAGTGTATCAGAGATAATTAAGTAACAAGAGCCGTCCCCATATGTTTACCTACACCCATATGTTCAAGTTGATTTCCTTAAATAACATATTCCAATCCAATATTCATTACTCATTTCTATTTTACAGCCAACACAATTCTGGCGAGAGCCGAAGAAGATGAGCTAGATGATGTAGTGGATATTGAAGGGGAAGATAACCAGGTTGTTGGTGATGATGCCCTTGGTGACGATGATGACTCCGTTGTGAAGTCTTCGCAAGATGTTGACACTACTATACTCTTTACTAAACCTGTTACGAGCTTAGGAGATGCTGTATTTGGTAAGATTAATTTACTTAGGCTTGTTTGTATTTCGTGGGTTAATCACATCTAAATCTAATATCATAATATATTACTTTATTAATAAGAATTTAAACTAAATAAATATATACCACTTAAAATATAAATAACTAAAAACTTAAATATTTACACCTTAAAAAAGTAATAATAATAAATCTTTTCTTTCTTTATAATATGTCATCATATGGCTTATAAAGAAAGAAAAGTGGGTTTTCAATTACAAATAATGTTTAATATTTTTCTTAATCAGTTATATGTTTATGGAAACTGTTCAAAGCAAATTTTCTGTGAAATTTTCAAAGCAAATTTTCTAGCATAATACTTCTTTTTGTGACCTACATGGCCATTAGAGTGTAAAACACTGAATACTTACTAATATAGATATCTAAGATAAAAAATATATCTCAGTTTTCAAATATAAAATTCCTTATTATTCTCTTTATTTTGCCACTTTTCTTATTAGATTCAAATTGGCAATGTTACCTAAATGTAACTTCTGTTCTATGTAAAGAACTAATTAGACAATTTTAATAATTATATCTAGCAGTTTGACAATAAACTCATAAAGTTATATACACATATGAGAAATAATGCAAGTAAGCTGCAACTAAATTTAAGTGTATATCAGGAAAATATAAATATAACTACTCTTGTGCAGTTTCAGCTACTCTCTTATTAAACATAGTATGATTTTTATAGCCTTCCTTGATAAATCCAACACAAAAAGAATTGTTTTTATAATAACTATCGTGAGACATACTAAATTAACTGCGGGTTACTCATGTGAATATACTGAGAAAAGAGAAGGGACACCGCCACAACCGCGCACTCTTCTCCTGAGGAAGGACCCCTCTGTGGTTCGAAACTGGTAGAGCTTTTCTCAGTATATTCACATGAGTAACCCGCGATTTTAAAAAGAATTAATCAATTCGAACCAGTAGTTTCGGATCGGTGGGCTCAAACAAAAAACTCTTCAGCTTTATGTAAATATTTCGGTAATTTAATTAACCATTATGGAATTTTCTTTTTTCAGACCTTCAAGCTGGCTATCCAGTTGAATTCTTAGTTGGATTCATTAACAAGGGTGCTGAAGATTACTTGGTAGAATCAATGGAAGCTTCCTTCAGATACCCCATGGACTACACATACTACATCCAGAACTTCACCGCTCTGCCTTACAATAAGGAAGTTAAGCCAAAGCAGGAAGCTACCTTCGCATACTCCTTCATCCCCAATGAAGCCTTCGCTGGCCGACCATTCGGTTTGAACATCCAGCTCAACTACAGGGACGCCAGTGGCAACTTCTACCAGGTTAGTATTAGGAATTGAATCTTATTAAAGGTATCTTAAGTTTGGTCAGCTTTTCACCCCTCGCGTTAATGACTAATGAAAATCTTATATAAACCTGTTCAGTAGTATTAATAGTAGAGGTTCAGAACTTTTCAATTCTGTATACCAGACCTCTTTCTAAACATCCTATTGAGTCATGAGGAAACTTGGTATTGTAATATAAAAAAAATAAAATAAAATAAAATCTTTATTCAGAAATGTAAATGGAAACAGATACATAAATATTTCATAGGTAAATAAAATAGATCTCACATGGTTAGGTGCCTGTACTAGGATAATCCTGTGTCCCAGGCGAAAGTAGTAATATAACTCCTGTCTTGGCTAGACTCTCCAAGAGTTAGGTGCCGTAACCAAAGATCCTTATTCATTGACGTCATCACTCGGATCGTCATTAAGACTGTAAGGTTACCGTGTTATGGCGTACCAGAGGCATATCGGTTTCATACATTTACTATGGTTATTAGAGGCACGCTTGCATGTTGTGTCGCGTGTTGCAGTCGCAAGCGATTGGCGGCTATAACGCCACGACACGCAACGATAATATATTTCTGCCTTTATTAAATAGGCAACTGGCCATTACTATAATACTACATGATTTGTTCAAAAATGACGAAATTACTAATATTTCTGTTTTTTATGCAGGAAGCGGTCTACAACCAGACGCTGAACATTGTGGAGGTGTCAGAAGGTTTGGACGGCGAGACGTTCTTCCTGTACGTGTTCCTGGGCGCTGGTTGCGTGTTGGCGCTGGTGCTCGGCCAGCAAGCTCTGTCGTCGTTAGCTCGGCGCCGCGCCCCTCGCCCCGCTTCACGGCCCATCGAGGTTGGCACCGCTAACGATGTCGACTACGACTGGCTACCTAAAGAAGTCGTCAACCAACTCAGTATGTATTACTTGCAACTATTTATCTTCTGTGCTCCATCTGTATACCAAATTATTTAGGATTAGCGCAATATCTTGCATTCTACTCAGCAGCTGTAGCCAAATGCCATTTAGCGCTTGTCTAAATATGGAATAGAAAACCAAATTATATTTGACGTAAATTTAGACACTTGTCAGTGTCATCCCCATACATTTTGATTTCTACTCTCTCTGTAGACAAGCGCTAAAGTAGCGTTTGGCTAAAGGCCCTGTAATGTCATCCTATTTGGAAGTTAATTTTCTATGATATTATGCTTCACAATCTATTCATGTTACTGCTTGCGCCGAGACGTGTGTCTTGACATATATCATATCACAAGTAAGCTAAAGCAGGATAGTTGAATTAGGCAGTCATCAGTTTCCGTGCTAACAATTTTTTTAAACCGAATATATATTATGCTGTTGTGATGATAAAAATCGTTTATAATGAATTTTAATTTATTTTTACTTGTTACAGAAAAATCACCGAAGAGTCCTAAACAGTCGCCTCGCTTGAGGAAGGCGAAGAGGTCGGCTGGGGACGACTAAATAAAAGTCGTGATAATCGAACCCAGTGCTCGGAGCACTCGAGCAGTGCTGAGTGAAACACCGCGGCACTAAACTAACAATAGTCCTGATTCTGACAGCTGTCATTAATAACCATAGTCTGTCATATCATCGATATAAATACTTTTTCATAGACAAGTCAGATGATCAGGCCTATTATTATTTTAGTCGATTTTTATACAGACTGTGTGGTTTGTAGTTGCTAAGTTTAGTGTGATGTGAGAATAAATTATGGAACAAAGTGTGGAAGCTTTTAACAACGTGAGCGATAAATAATGTGAGAATATTATTTAATAAAATGTTAAATTTTTATTTGTTTTGTTTTATTGTCAAATGTTCTGTATACCATGTATCTTTTTAACATTGTGGTCTGGTGTGCAATAACGAACTAATGACCAAATATTTACTTATGTCGCTACAAATTTGTGAGATGGTAAGATAGGTATTTAATTACAACTTAAAATTGAGTAGCTTTTTAGTATTCAGGCGTAACTTTACATCCCGCTAGGTTAGCCAAGACTTTCAACCTAACAACTTTATCATAGAAGGATGCGATTCATATCATAGGTAATGAAAAGTCTCCTCTGCCTATCCCTATGAGGTTGAGAATAAAAAGGCGTGACGTTTTTTCTACAGCATCGAGCCTTCCTCGAATAAATGGACTATCCAATACAAAAAGAATTAACTCTTCAGCTTCGTAGGTAGAACAAGTATAATAATAACTGGGATTGCTTTGATGGCCTTCCTTCAGTATTGTACACATATCACGTACAGACCTACATTATAAGGTACTGTCTGACAAACTTAAACATTTTCGACTTTATTACAAGGTATAAAAGTTCAAAACCTTTTGTAAAAATGTAGCTTGGTCAGTGTTGCTATGAGTAGTTTACTTTTTAAACTCTGTGTACCTACAACATAACTCCGAATTATTATTATGTAGTTAAAATAAACAATTATATCAATAAGGTGTCAAGCCTACCATAATTATTAGTAAAAATTGGACACTACCAAAAATTTGTGTCGCCCATGTGGTGCTTTCCTAGGGCGCTCTCTTCCCGAGCGTGCGGCGCGTCACGTTCCGCATACGCCTAATGAACCATCAGACTACCACAGATAGGCCCAGTAGGGCTGATGCGGAGCCACGGAGGACATATCGGGTTCCCGGGGCTCCGGCTCGAAATGCAGGAGTAGGAACGGGGTGTTTTTTAGTCAGTAAGAGCCTGACACTCCTTCTCGCTTCACCAAAGGCGGGAGAAATCATTGAATAGGTAATATTCCACCCTTAAAATAAATGGACGCTCTCTATACATATAATTACACCTCTGCGTTGTAAACCTTCCCTGAGTTATAGAGTGATGTTGACTCAAAGACTAGTATAGTATACTGGCTCAAATATTATATTGGAGACTCGGTTGCCAAAGAAGAAAAAAAAAGTATTATTTTGTCATAAACACATATATTTTACTATAGATAATATAATAATGTTTTATCGTCACAACAATTATCATCCAATATCGATCTGTAAAATTGAAGAACATTAAAATTTCCCGGGCTACCTTAAAGTATACTTTATCCATCTAAACCTAAACATTCTAGTCTACGAGTTCTATATTTACATTCATCAATAGGTATTTTTATGAGTTACATAATATATAATATTTTTCCTGTTTTACATAATCAACAGTAAATTATAAAGTTACTTTTATTTTTATTTATTTTATTTTTTATTTATGTATTTAATGCACTAACTACTACCATTACAGATAGGTACATTCCAATACGATAGTGTAGCCATCAGTCTTACTACATCTTTTAGTAATTACTTATTAAGTACCTAATTATAATTAAATTAAAAACTTAACACTTAACAATTATAATTAAATTAAAAAGTTAACAATGCATAGCTATCTAAACGTATAGCCCCGAGGTTATAGGAGGGAGATATAGTGTTTTTATAATTATCTTGAGCATCGTGAGACATAGATACTAAATTAACTAAAAATCGCGGGTTACTCACTGGTTCACGAAACTAGTAGAGCTTTTCTCAGTATATTCACGTGATTAACCCGCGATTTTTAGTTAATTGACTTACATAGTATTTATTTACGTATTGGTTGGTTCATTGAAACCGGCCAATCAGAGCACTGAACGCGATAACATTTCGATCTCGATAAACGTAAAACAAACGTGCTAAGCCCTCTGATTATCAACTGTAACAATCCTCGATAAAGTCGAAAATCCATTACAGTAGATAAGGTCAAAGTGCTGCCCTCTATATTTCTATTTTTGAACCCCATTTTTTTATTCAAAATATATTTCAAAATTTCAAAATTTATTTGGGAATGGGAATAAAATCCTCGTTATGGCCACACTGTGCCATAGATTACATATTATGTGCCTTATCTACCGCCTGGGATTTGACCGCCTGACCGGTCGGTGACTCATATAATATACAAAAACAAGCTTTGCGAACACTTTAAAACTGTTATCGAACACTTCAAAACTATTACTAATAATATCGAATGATTTTAACTACATAGTCTAAAAGAAATCAAGGAGATCAAACGTAAAACTAGTTTTGTTAATAAACCTTAAAATATAACGAGGACTGTAACCGGTAAGTAGCTATTTACATAGTTTCTCTTGTAAAACAAGCTTTACTTATAAACTACTGTAAATATGATGCAAATGATCATAATAATGTGTTAACACAACTATACTACGCATAGAAATATTATGATATAACTGTGTAGTACCCTGTTGCTTTACAAAACTCTACACACAACTGGAAAGAGAGGGAAACATGCACAAATAATATTAGACACAGTGGGTTCAGGGTTTGTTGTAACATATTATTAGAATACTAGCTTCTACCAGCGGCTTCGCTCGTGTTCTCAAGGGCAAAAAGTAGCCTATATGTTACCCCAGACAATAATCTAACTCTGTTGCAAATTTTATCCCGGTCCCTTCAGCCGTTCTGATGTGACTGAAAACACATTTATAATATCGGTTCAAGCTAATTTCAACCATCGGTCCTACAGTTACAGCGTCAAATCCACTGCGAGCAACCTAACATTTGAACTCCAAATTTATATTTGCGTTTGGTACAGTAACTGTGTCTAGGGATTGAGCCGCACAATTAAGTTTGTTTTTTCGTGTATATATTTTTTCGGGTTATAAAGTTCCTAGTGTGTTGCCTAGGATATTAAAGTATAATCCTACCAAGTTTCATTGTTATCGAACCGATAGTTTTTGCGTGTTGCGTGAACATACAGACAGATAGACAACATTTTTTAATCACAAGGGTTCGGTGTTTTTCTAGTAAGACTTTATTGCGAATTTATTAACTATCTTTTGAAATTCGAAACCGGTAGAAGAGCGGCCAGTAAACGATCGGCTCTACAGGACTGAGCGGAACTCAGTTCCTTGCCCATTTACGAAAGGGTAAGCCGAATAACATTCCTATCTATTTGTTTTACGAAAAACGGAAAATGTTATTCAGGCTAAGGTCTACGGTCTACGAGAGCTATTTAAAATAAGTAAAACACCGTAAAAACGCGATTAGAAAATTTTATAAAACACACGAATTAATATAAAATATTAATGTAAAGATTCATATTCCTAATTTAATATATTTTATTTAAATTACAGAAATGTTCCAAAATGGATCCAGTAGAAACACTAGTGACAAACCTGAATGAACTGCTAGAAGCTGTACGGAGAGGAGAGATAGACGACGTCAAGAAAATAGTTGACTGGTTCGAACAAGACGTGGATCGCAACAGAACGCTATTACCTGCCGTGTACGCCGGAGCCAGGCCATGTCCTACACAGGACGACCTTGTCATTGCCGCGTGTTCCCACAACCAGAAGCGTGTCCTCGACTACTTGCTGATTGAAACTGATATATTGGAGTATCTCACTGACAGTACACAACATATCACACAAGTGATTGAGAAGAGAACCGAAGCGGTCAGACATGCGCTGCGGCTGGAAGATTTCGAAATGGTGGAGAAGTTGTACAACTACTGGAGCGGCGACTTGTATTGGAACGGACACGAAAAGGATAAGTTTAAGAATCTTGGAAAAATACTACAAGACGCTGAAAACCCAGCCATTGTAAGGGACCAACAACTGCTTATTAATTTTAAATCACTCGTCACACTGAATGACTTTCAACGAGAACTGTACAACAACCTGCCACAGCCACTGTCACATGACGCTCCCGCAGAAGACACTGCTAGAGTGCTACTGACTGTGTTGAGTATATATGACAAGTATTCAGATATAGATAGGGTAAGAATACCAGACGTTACACACAAAATCGAACTTCTACTCAAATCGTACTTTGAAGATAAGAGCAGCACATACTTCAGAGCACTGGCGTATATTAAGTACGAAGTCTATTTTCGTAAATTGGATTTTAATATAGCGTTACTTTTGTTGGAAAAGTTGTACATTATAAGAAATCATTTAATAAAACGTTTCAATAAAACCAAAGCATATTTCGAGAATAATAAAAAGTTGCACAATCAATACATAAGCGCATCGTCCTCGTACAAAGACATAGAATGTGCTATCTACCATCTAATCTACCGGACGAGTGAAGACTGGAGACTATATCTACCTGCGGATAGACAGTTAACAGTAGAAACGCATCACCTAGGTTTTTATAATGGTAGCATAATTAGGAAACTTAAAACATCATACGATATACATAAGTTGTATAACGGTCCTGTGCTATATTTCGAGCGAAGGTATTTTAAGAAATCCGTCAATAAATTAAAAAAAATATTAAAGAAACATGTCATTGATAAAGACCCAACAATGACATCAATGACAAGAAGCAACCAGAAAAACTTGGAAATATTATTAGATGTGAATTATCTTACGCCAGTGATGTACATGAGTGAACATTACTCGTTAAGAAAAATTGTTACATACATCGAAGCTCTCGAACAGACTACTAATGCAGATGTCATTATGATTGAAAGAGTTCTTCAGGTTATAGGAGAAATGCTAAAAAACTCTCCCGAGTCGTCACATATATCAGACTTTACAAAAGCTCTCTTGCAGACAGCAATATCCACAGACACCATCAAACATCTACAAGACATTAGAGAGTTCTTGTCACATACTGACAAAGGACAACTGAGCATCAGGATTGATATCGAGAACAACAAAGCTGATATGTTACTAAATGTTAAAGATGAATTAGTGAAAATCAAAGAACAAATTGTTCCTATTCTTGATTTATGTAAATCTGTTCTTGATAAATCGTTATTACAAAAAGGTTTAGATTTATTAAACATTAGAATTAAAAACTTGCCGGATGGTGCTAGACAACGTCTTAATGAAATACACTCTCTTTATAAAGTACGTGGAAATGACTTAGTCTCTGTGTCTGGGCAATACTTTAGAGAAGTTTGGAAACCAGCCGGCTTGTCACACCAATTGCTTAAAGAAATTCCACTGCTTCTACAAAATCGAGATGACATTTCATCAAAAAAGAATATGGTTGAAAAGGACATAGAAGACAAGATCGTACGAATATTACCAATGTTTATTCAGAATACGAGACAAATTCTGAAACGCATGCATGAAAACAATGATAATGTGGATAATATCAACAGCATGTTAGTGAAACATAAGATCAAAATATTGAACTATTCTCCGGAAATGAGTGACATAAAGGACAGACAGCGTAAATTAGAAAAAAGAATGAGGCAATGTGTAAATTTTCCAATAGAAGATTTATCACGACATTGGAAAGCAATAGTAATATTGATATATAATTGCCTCAACAATTTTAATACTTTTTCTGCAGTTCGTCAATTTAATTTTAACAAAGGTAGTTCTCCAGATGAATCAACTATCGCAACACTGAATACCATATTGGAGAAGGTAGATGTTGTATGTTCAATGCGCAATTCAACGCTAGCCTGGCTTTGTGGCAAACATTTGGTGGAATGGGGGCTATGGATTTACAGACTCTTTAGACAAGTGTTCCGAACTCAAACTACATCATTTCCTGCCATAGAACGTCTTCATAAAAATACTGTCTGCAAAGTAGCACAGCCTAGTGAATTAACAAAGTGCTTAATCAATCGCGTCTATCTGCTGAGGAACACTCTATCGTATCCACAACAAATACCTTTACGTGAACATGTTCAGCGATACAAGCGGGATCCAGAGTTTCGTTTTGTGTTAGAAATGTTACTGTCTGACATAGAGAACATTATAAATAATAACAAACATAACTCGAGGAAAAGTGGGAAGTTGCTGGAAGGTATTGTCCTGGGTAACGTGCTGGATCACGGCAATCCATTCTTAGAGGTGATCGGGGATATATTCGACTGCCACGAGCTGTCACGGGAGCTCTTGTCAAAAGCGAAAAATTTTGCTGAAGATCAGAACACAGTCCAAGCTCTCTACGCACTGTTCTGAGATAATGTAGACTTTGATAATATTAATCAACAATTGATATAAACAAAGTCATTTAGAAGGCACGGTACTGTATTTACTGACACTCACATTCATTGTACAAGAATGTTGTGCATATCTTTATTTGATGTAAGCACTAGTCTATATCCCTATTATTTTCTTATTTTTAATGTTTGTTTATATTGTTAACTCGTCGAGTACCGTCAATATAGACACAATTATAGAACAATAGGTTGCGGTCACCGGTGACCGCTTGGTGTTTGACAGTTTAATATGCCTTAAAAAAAACAATGATATTGCTGATAAATATTAAAGTTTCACAGAAAGACCTTAAACTGTCAAACACCGCTAAGACACCGGTGACCGCAACCTATTGTTCTTTAATTGTGTCTATAATGACGGTGCTCAGAGTGTTTTCGAAACTCAAATAGACTCAGATCTGAAAATGTTACGTCCGTCTTATTTAGCAATAAAACAAAAAAGTACGATTTTCTCTAATATACTTATCTTATTTTTCCTGCAATTTTTGTTTATGATGTATGATGGTAAACGACAAATATATTACCTGATGCCTGGTAAGCAATCGGTACCCCCATGGACAAGCAGACTAACTATTGCCGAGTGGTCGCTGATGCGACTACCGGGCAAGGAGTCTCGGGTTCGATCCCCAGGTAGAGCAAAGTTTTACTGGGTTTATTAAAAACAATATTCATTAGTAGCACGCAGTCTGGAATTGTGGCCGGTATATGGCAATAGGAATATTATTGGAAGCAAGTATAACAGCTCACACATAGGACCCACTTAGTTTTTTTAGTCAAATTTCCGTGGTGCTTGGCGACTGGGCTTCACCCAGTTGTACAGTCTGTTCTTTGTGCCTTTAGGCTTAATTCATTCTGTCTCCTGCAGTAATTCGCCGAGGGAAGTGAAAACTATAGTTTTTTCTTCTTCTCCTCTTATAATATCTTCTGATTCACTTCGTTGCGGGAACCAAGACAGTTACTCATGTCCCTGAGACGCGCCGGACTTCAATGTTCCGGTGTTTTCATGGTTGTATCTACTGTAGATCCTGACGTACAGGAGTTGCAGCGGTTTTGGGAGGTTGTGGCGGGCTTGTCCCAAAAAAAAATATATGGCAATAGGCTCACCCCCTATTAAATGGGACTCATAACAAATAATGCAAAGTGGGGGTGCTACATTTTAGAGCGGCATTTAAGTGCCGTAATGTGCACCTCTGACTACCTACGGGGATAAAAGGCGCGATGTTATGTATGTTATTGATTATAACTAGAACACATTAGACACAAACAATAAATTATACAGTACTGGAAGTGGACACTCAAGCTGAAGACACTCAAGCTGAAAAACATATAATAAAATCTTCATCTCCGCTTTGAATAACTTCAGAATTCCACATAAATATGACGCTTTACCTAATTATTTATCATTATTATTTCCAAAGCGTGTAAGTATATAGGCTGCATCGCAATTCGCAATGCAGATTCCTGCATGCAGAGCCATATTATGCGTAAGGCAAACTAGACAAGTGCTTGCAAGGTGGCGCCCTGTCAGAGACGCACCGCGAGACTCCCATTACCAACTGCCCATAGAGTGGAGACGGTGCCAAAAATATAGTTCAGGCGCTCAGGGCGCTTTCTACGTTAAATCCTCCTCTGTCTGCATGGAACCACTCTTTGCGATATCAACAAATTATTGTTCCTTTTGAATGTAAAGGGTGTAAAGGCCACTTCTAGGAATCTAGATGGTTGGCAGGCCACAACTGTGTGCTTCTCTCGTAGCTTTCTGCCTCGCACAGCAAAACTGTGGAAAAGCCAGTCGTCGGCGATAGTTCCGAAACGATCCGACCTTCAAACCTCAAGAAAAGAGCGTATTCCTTTTTAAAAGGCTGGCAACGCACCTGTAACTGCTCTGGTGTTGCGGGTGTCCATGGACGGTGCTGATTGCTTACTATCAGGTGATCCGTCTGCTCGTTTCCCTCATAGGCACTTATTCCATAAAAAAAATCTTTCATAACGTTCAGTGCATGTAGAATCTTTCTTCGTTTATTCTAATGATACATAATGTTGTTTTGTATCATGAGATCTTATTTTTTTAATTATTCAATTTTGTCATAATATTAAGTATTTCTTCTGTTTATTGCAATAATTGTGAGTTCACCTTTAATAGTTTTTTGTTTATAGGAATTATGTTTGTGTTTAAAAATTTAAAAGGGTAATAACTATTCTCTTGTGCATGATGTGTTAGCCTTTAAATGATTGTTACACTGGCAAATGTTTATTGTAGGTAAACCAATTTATTGAAATATGATGTGTAAACAGTCGTCAACTGACCTTGAATCTATACTTACAATAAATCTGTAGAGGGGTCAATTCTATACATGAAATATATATCCAAAATAACTATCAGGGGGTGATTAGTGATCGATACTTAATGCCAAAAATGCAATCAGTAAAATTTTTGTCTGTCTATCTGTATGTTTCTTTTAGAAATAAAAACTACTCGACGGATTTTAACGAAACTTGATACAAATTATTCTTCATACTCCTGGGGAGGTTATCGTATACTTTTCATCACGCTACGATCAATAGGAGCAGAGCAGTGAAGGAAAATGTTGGGAAAACGGAAGAAGTTATATCATCTTTTAAGCTTCCGTCGCGTGAGCAGGCTTAAACTGTCAAACACCAAGCGGACACCGGTGACCGCAACCTGTTCTATAATTGTGTCTATAATGACGGTACTCGACGAGTTAATAGTTAAAGCTACATAGAAATCATGTATGACGAAAATGTTTTACATAAAATAATCTAAATAATATCCCACAACAGCACATGTCTATCTTTTATGGTTGACTTACAATAACACGTGTAACTTCCGATAGCTTAGCAGTTCGGAGCTCTCTGCTTATATTTGTTTACTCATACGTTTACAATACTCATCCATAGACTTTACGCTGTAACTGTAGGGCCGATGGTTGAAATTAGCTTGACTCGATATTATAAATGTGAAAATATGTGAGTTTATATGTTTGTGTGTATGTTTGTTACTCAGTCATATTAAAACGACTGAAGGGACCGGAATGAAATTCGGAACAGAGATTATGGTCAAGTGAAACAAATGAAACAAGTGAATTTATTTCTGCAAATAGGCTACAAGGCAGCACTGTTACACGTCAATTTTATCAAGCGAACGATGAGGTCTGAAGTAATACATTGGCATTTTATCCCTGGGATCGCGGGCGAAGACGCTGGCAGAAGCTAGTAATAAATAAATGGACATTTATTGAGAAAGGGCCTACAAATTTAGGTATACCTATCCGGTTTTCCCAAACGTGCGTAATGCGCATGAGTGCTAAGTTTATCGTTCAATCACGTTATCACACTCGAATAGTTACAATCACCGACCTTGGTATTACTATTACACTTATTGCTATACTAGCTTTTACCCGCGGCTTCGCTCGCGTCACAAAAGGATAAAAAGTACCCTATGTGACATATACCAATACACACAGCGCCATCTATACCAATAATTTCGTTTTTCCTCTAGAATATCAAATTTTTCCGGAATAAAAAGTACATTATTATTTTATCCAGACTTATAACTTTACGTCTGCAAAAATTCAATGCAATCGGTTTAGTAGTTACGGCGTGAAGTCGGAACAAACAAACAAACAAACAAACTCACTTTCCCATTTATAATAGTAAGGATTTAATTGATTTATTTGATAAGTAATTATTGTTTCGATAGTGACTACTTAGAATTTAGATGATGGTCGGTGTTCACAATGGATTGCTGGTCTGGTGGGTGGTACCTTACGGTCTTTTTCACCAATTGCCCCTAAAATATCTAAATTAAAAAGTAAGGAAGCACCTAAACTAACCCCTAAGATAAAATAAATAAAAATGAACCTCTTGTAGGCACTGTTAGATATCACTTATAGGTTGCTGAAAACAAAAATGTCTAACTGTCACTTACTTAGCTTAGCTCAGTGGTTCCTTAAAATTTAGAACAGATTGGTTGAAACGAACATTAATTCTTATTTATTTAATCACATGTCATAATTAATTAAGAATTGTCTTAGGGAATTGTAAATCTGATAGCCCTCTTCACCCAGGCATTAAGGATCTATGCGATTTTCCCACCTTGGGGTAAAAAATAACAACAAAGATAGAAACACCGAGGTAAACGCACTAGCCACGTCTGCAGCATCGTTTGCATCGTTTGCATCGTGTGCAACTTCTTAATTGGACGAATTAATCAACCAAAATTAGTCAAATCAGTCTAGCTAGTTTTGAGTGAGCCTGGCTACCAACACCAATTAATTTGTGAGTCTCCAAGTAATTAAACTCATCTCTGAAACTAGATAGGTACCTACTGGCTCGACTTGAATAATTATTTTTGTATTGGATAGTGCAATTGGGTAGTTTCCAGGGTATCAAAATTAAAAATCTAATTAGTCCGTCAGTTAGATAATGAAAAAATGTTACACACGTATTTTTTTAATTTCTCGTATTAAGTTGCAATACCTAGATAAAATGGTGCTAAGTTTAGAAGTGGGAGGTCGTTGTCGTTACGTCATAACGTGCTATAAAATGTGGCACGCTGTGACGTCACACGATATTTCAAATTAATATATCGTCGAAAGTATTTAATTTTGTGAGAAAAGAAAAAATACGTGTCTAAAGTTTTAAATTAATGTACCAGACGGACATTAAAATAAAATTTAGGAAACTACCCTATTATCGAGGAAGCTTAGAGGGATATAATACATCACGTTACGGCTAATAGGAACCAAGCAGTGAGTGAATCCGCGCGAGAGGAGCTTGATGATATCCCTATCTGTACCTAAGTCTTCATAATGTCCAAACATTACCGTCTAAGTATCTACCTGTCTAATTAAACATAGGTCCAAAATGTACAATGGGCAGCAGATCAAACTAGTCTTTTCTGACTAATCTCTTTATTAAATTTACAACTCTATCGTTTGGGTATGAAGTTGAAAATCCAACGACAAAAAATCCCGAGTGTATGGTGCGTCGCGTTCCGCGCGCGCCTCAAAGAGCCATCAGACCACCGCGGATGGTGGTCTGATGGCCCGATAGGGCTGATGTCGATACAGAGCCGCGGAGAACTTAACCGTTAACGGGAGAACTACTCGGGGTACAGGAGTAGGAACGGGGTGGTTTTTAGTCAGTAAGAGTCTGACA